AAAATGAAGAAGCAAAAACGTTAGTTTTAGAAGAGATCAATAATCAATTATTAACCATGGATCAAAATGAGCTATATGAAAATAACAATATCGAGTTTAATGACTTACTTTTCAAATCAAAGAAAATTACGATATCTTCTACAATCGAGATTACAACATTAATTAATCAAACTTTGAGAGTTAGGTTGAATAACGGTGAAAACACATATCACGTTAAGGAGATTGTCATGTCTCTTACCCTCATATCATTATTTCATAGGTAAATGTTAAAGCATTTGAAGTTAACATTGAACATAATGGCATTGCAGCAAACATCAAGTTATCTTAAATTTTAGATGAAGTTAGAGATAACATTCTTTATAAACGTGTAATTCTAACTTGGTTTGGCGTTAAAGAAAACAATAGAGAAAAGGCTAGAAATAATCGAAATCCATTCCCAGGATTTATGCATAAGTATGATAAAGATTTTATTATCAACATGGACGTTGTTGATGTATGACTACAGCATATAACATATTGTCTTATGTAACAACAAAGAGAAAATTTACAAGTATCTGCTGAAATATTTTACTAATCGATTGCTAAACCCAAGCAAGAAATCTGGAGCTCTGATTATCATTAACCCTTCTAAGACGATATTCTGTATCATACAGAATAAGCTGTAGGACAGGATCTTATATCAAACGAGCTTACCATCAGCCTAATTCACCGCATACTATCATTTTGTATGCGACTTTATCATTGAAGATCTTCGCAGCGAAGATAGACGGGGATTTCCCTGGCATCATAGAAAAGACAATATAAAATTTATGGAGGTTTGAAAATTCTGTAATGAGCCGTTTTGATTCACAGACCACCACACATTACTCTCGTCCCGCACTATCCGTTCTCCCCACAATGAACGGCCCGTACGAAAAAAAAACATTCAAGCAGCTATGGCGCGAGCTTTCCAAGCAGGGATGGAAGTCAAGAAAACCGAAGGGGTTAAGTGTGGATTTTACCTATGTGAAGCCTGGTGTCGCTGGCAGCTTGGATGCAGCACAGCGCCGCGTTGACCACTTTGTTGGTAAGCTAGCGCTCAATTGCTATCTAAAGTCCTTCATAGATTAAATAACTTGATTTGGCGTACGATAAAACGAGCTTATGATGTTTGCTCGGACTGAGGGAATGCTTGAGCTGAAATTACCGCTTCCCCCACCGAAAAAACTTGCTGCTGCGTCCGCTTGAGTGCTCATTGAAACCCCGACGACTCAAGCTGCTGCTGCAAGCGAAGCCCCCGTTGGAACGCTGGCTAATCAAGCCGACGCTACCCAACGAGCCTCACCTTTGACGATGGCGGCTGCAGATACTACTGAAGCGGTTTCAAGTCCAGCGGCACGTTCCCCTGATGAGGAAGCCACCCATTCATCAGGTGAAGGATCTAATCCGGAGTATACAGAACAAGGTAGCGACAACGCGTGTATTCCGGAGGATCCAGAGCTGGACACCAGTGTCAATTCAAGCGAGAGTGGTCGTCACATTGGTGTGGATGCCTTTGACACCGAAGGTCTTATCGACGCCATGCGCACGGAGGTATTGTTCGGTCCCTTAGCGACGGACGATATCAACGTATCTTCGGAGCCATTTCCAGACGACGGAGAAAGTGACGACGAAGATGACGCAGTTGCCTCGCCATCAGCAGCTTGTGTTGAGTACGAGAGCGAAATCGAGTCGGACACCAAATTCAAGGATGAGAGCGAGCTATTTCGACAAGATGACGATGCCATGCGCCAGCTCGGACTGTCCGGTGAAAGCTGTATGATGAGAACCACAGCGGTAATAAATCTGTATGCTACAGAATTGTTGTATTTGAGCTAACTTATTCTGTATGGCACTGAATACAGGTGAGCTACAACTGGACAGTGCTGACGATCTCTACAATGGCACATTTGGGCGTACCAAGTCAGCTGCTGCTTTTCCTGCCTCGCTTCTTGGTATGTTTTTCCACTTCCTGCCGAAAGCTCTGTGGGTGCGCATCACCGACGAAACCAATGCGTATCGCCTGCATTGTATTCCAAGTATCGCCGAAAAACTCGACTTCATCAGCTTGCAGCTCACGATAAAGGCCCGCAAAAACAAGTGCAGTCACTAGAAGAGATCAAGGCAAAGCTGCAGAGAGTGAAACCCGTGCAAGTTCATGAAATAATTCATGTCATTGGCCTTCTCGTAGCTAGGCCACTGTGTGGACATACCAATGGTTTGAGTAAGCACTGGTCAACACGCGACGACGGTGCGGTGCCTCGTGGGACGTTTGGGCGGTACATAAAACGCGACCGCTTCAAGATGATCACTCGGTTCCTCCACTTTGCCAGCGGTACAACAGCTCCAGCGTCAGGCACCTCCCTCATCTCAAATGGTCTCTTCTTCTAGTACTACCGCTCCAGACGCCACTTGTGAGTTTTTCGGATAAAAAAACTAAACCGTTACCTTATTCTACATCGGTCCGTCCCTTCACACAGCTTAAGGATCAAAGCCTAGGAAGCGATGCCGTCAGATACTGATGATGTACTAGAAGTTCCAGACGATGACAGCGACAGCTCGTCGTTATCTTCCTACGACTCGGAAGAATTCCGACTCATAGTTCGGAAGGGCTTTGCAAGGATGTACGTGCTGTCTCGACAATGTGACGGAGATTCCAAGGAAGAGGCTCTATGCAAGCGGACAACACTATTTCCATGGCTCTATTGAGATGCCAGAGGATATTCAAGTTCGAGAAGAAGATCAAAGTCAACTTAAAAGCTTCTTTGAAAGTATTTCGCGTCGTGGTGTGGACTTGAGGTATCTCGCGATTACTGCCGTTACTTCAAGCCCAACAGGATTCCCTCACTGAAGTAGATGATGTGGTCGACTTAACTTCGGGAAAACGGGATGCAGTGTACCAAATGCGGGAGTTGGCGAGTTCCGTCAAATAATTGGCAAAGCCTCGCACGACCGAGAGACTGAAACTTAAAGCACGAGAACTCCCGTGGCTAGCTGAAGCCACGGAGAAAAATATTCCAGCCTTCTTTGAGCTACAGACTCATCCCACTACGAACAATGCTCTCGCAGACGCTGGCGTTCGGCTTGTCGTCATGAAACTCGTGATGCGCGGAGTACTGCTCGACATCATTTACTCTCGAGACTCGTACTTCGCTACGTTGCGGGACAACACGGAGGAAATTGCACTCGAAGACACCTTCGTTCCGGACGGTAAATATGATTTCTTAAATTTCTAAAGTGATATTTATACCATCTAAACCGAATGTCGCAGTTGCCAAAGCGGGGCCTTGCACGCTTAGTGGGTGCGTTTCTATTGATATTTCCGCTTAATGTCGATATTTAGCGTACGTACAGTGACGAGGATCTTAAGCAATTGTTGTTGTGGTGTCCACTTCCCTTGATACGCCGTCAATGCCACTAATTGAAACCTAGCAATAATAAAGGAATTCTTGCGTTTTAGCATCAAACGACACGCAACTTTATTGTCTGATTGCTAGACAGGTCGGCCACATCATTCTAGAAAATCTAGGCGTTTAATATTTACATTCTAAATTTAATGATTTTTTATGGATCTTCTATATCTGTGATTCTGTATGTTGGACTCGACGCAGTTAGTGCAGTACAGAGCTCCTGTATTATACTCCACGACTAAGTAGCACGATCGTGTTCTTATCTGCAGCCACACGTTCTCCATTCTAATCTTCTTCCAAAGCTGCTAGAGTTTTCTTAAGTTCAGCCAGTTCGTCACATGCGTGATAGTATCGCGCTGAAACTTTCTGCAACGCTCTCGCGTCCTCAAGAGAACGTTCCTGTCCAGCACGTAAGCTCTCGTCATGTCTTCGTACACTACTCGCTTAACGTCAACGTCGAACGTTGAACATCGGTGAGTTTACTCTCTGTTCTTGTAACATAGTCCTTTTCACTTCTTAACGCAGCAGTGAGACGCGCATTTTCTGCTGTACTAGCAGCCAGCAACGCCTGCGTCTCTGCTAATCGTTTCTTTAGCACAAGAGAACGAGATTTCGCTTCTGCACTATACGCACTGAGTTGTTGAAGACAGTGAGTCTCCAGACTTTGTAGTCGAGTCTGCAGTCCCGGGATCATCAAATTTCGAGCATGAAGATCTTCGACTGCACGTTCATATTCATCTCGAATTTGCAAAAGGACAGGTGCGTACACACTGAAGCCGTCGATTAGGCGATTGAGAGCTTCTCTTACGATTTGTAGTCGTCGTAAACTGGGGTTTCTTGACTCTCGCTCTCCGTCCAGCTCTGTGTGAAGAAAGTCGAGGAGTTCTTGTAGTAATGCCGGTCGTGTTCGACTGTCGTCTAGTAGACGTGTACGGGTGTGAAGCTTTTGTACTTTAGGAGATATTGGAGAGGACGCATCGTGATCAATAAAGTCGGTAGGGATACGTCTCGGACTTCCAGGTGCGAAGGTTAAGGACCAGGAAGAGACTCGGATGGGTCGTGATTTATCGTGTTTTCTCGGAGATGGGGAGATGTCACTGGTGGTTTGTAAAGGGGGTAAGGACGAGGTGGTAGTTGCAGAGCCTTTCGCTTCTGTTGGACGTCGGGGTGGCGGACTGGCAAGACCGACGGAGACGAAATCCATGTCGAAAACTGGTCGAGGACTTGAAGCGAGTTATGAATAGTCTGTAGACAAACCGTTTCTAAGTTTGACTTGCCGAAAGTTGCTCTAATTAAGACGACGAGATGGGGAACGCACTGACCGTCGACGTGGTCGGCCCGATCGTGAGCGACGATCCCCTGCTAAATGTACACGTGGCAGTTTATGTGATGAATGACGCGATCTGAATCTTATGATTATCGTGTTTTTGATAGGAATATAAAGCAGGTTAGAGCGAGTGTGAGGGCGATACTTACAAGGTTTAACTGTCTTCTTTTTCTATAGCAACATTAGATGATTTTCATGTTGCGAAGGAGAACTTTGAAACCTTGCAAGGAACTTTAGGAGACAAGATGACTGTCAATCCAGAAGAGTTTGATGACATCTTCTCACTCATCTGTCAAGATTCACTCGAACATTTTGCACTTTTCGACTCGTGGGAAGTCGGCAAGGCAAGTCAACTATTTCTTTCCTTATCAAAAACTTAAAATCTTATAGTTTTTCTTATTTAAAATCAGGTGGATGTGACGGAAGTGTTTGCTGTGATCATCGTGTACTGCAATGCGACGATGGAGGAGAAAGTCCCATTTCTATTTGATCTCTTCGATTTCGACCATTCCAAGATGATATCAAAAGACGAACTGGTTCTACTGATGCTTTGCACGACTAGAGGGCTCTGTAAAGTGGTCGGTAAGCCCAGACCAGCTACAGACGGTCTTGAAGTCCTTGCTACTGACGCTTTCTCGCGCATTGATCGGGATCAGAATGGCAGAATTTCACTTGACGAACTTTCTGAGTGGATAGTACACGAGCGAACAGTGATGACTTATCTTGCAAAATTCGCGAATACTCGAGTAATTTACGAGAACCAAGTGCAGTACGACTTGATGCTGAAGGAACTATCTACTGCATTCCTGAATTTTGCCGAACCGGAAAAAGATAAACTGAAATTCCAGTGCTTCGAAGAGATCTGTGAGGAAATGATCCAGCGCTACTTCCCCGCAGCTGGGAAACACGAAATCAATTTCTTACTGCAGACAATGAAGGAAACTATGCAAAATACGCGGTCACTCGTAAAATACGGAGAAAGCAACGTTTCAGACAATGCGATCTCCATGGACGCGTTCTTTCTCGTTCTTTCACCATTTATCGCGTTCCTCGCTGCTGACGATAATGGAGAACACTCGATCAATATCAAAGAACTAAAAATTCTGCTTTGGCTTATGTTTGGGTCGGAACCGAGCTCAAAAATGGTCGAGAATTTCATAAACGCGTTGGATAGCAACCACGACGGCGCTCTCAACGCGATGGAGTGGGTCTCGTATGCTCTTGCGACCAATAAACAGACCGGAAGCCAGTCATTCGTCAACCAGATTCATCTCCTCTTCGCGACGTCAGACGTCAACGGAGACGCCATATTGACTCTACCAGAACTTCAACGTGGTCTGATTTTTATTTTCACAGATCATTTAGAACCTGTAAACACGCCGTCTAAACCAGAATCGGCCTGGGAAGAAGTCAAAAGTGTGGAAACTCGACACAAATCACAGTTTTCTACCATTTCGAGTCTTGCCACCGATCTGGTCAAGGAAATCATGGGGGAACTCGATGCAAATGACACGCGACGTATCGAATGGTACGAGTTCCGACAACATCTCGAGTACCTTGACCGCCGCGTGATGGAGATCAAGACTTACATCCAAACACGCGTTCTAGGTTAAATACCTACGCTCTAGAAATAAAACAGACAACAGACCAAAAAAAAAACTGAAGTAAATGCACATGGAATCAAGGACGAACCTTTGTTGCAAGCGTCGTGACTGCACTCACGACTCAAAAATGAGACCGAACGCAGTCGAACGGCAACCCTTCGGAAGATCTCAGCACCGTCACCATGTGCAGCCCCTCGCAGCAATTCCTCTGCACCTCCAGCACCATTTGCACTGAACTTGCATTCGCCATTCGCGACTCCATTGCGCTCCCCGATACTTGGCAAATATTTGGCAGAAACTTGCAATAAACTCGAGGAACAAACTCCAAAAGACGCCACAGCAGCATGTGACACACCCGAGCCACAGCCAACCGACATGGAGCCAAGCAGAGAGCAGGATAAGAGCACTGTGTATCAATCACCAGACACACTCCAAACAGCAAAACGAGGTAACAAGAGACACTTGGAACAATAGAAAACCAATGTGTAAACATTTTTTCAACGGAGCAGAGAGCACGTAAAATACACATCGAGTCCTACACACACCACTGAAACCCCATCATTTCTTTCTCCTTTTGTCACTTAAATCCTCGTTGTGACCCAAGTGTGAGGAGAAGAAAGAGGTCAACAAACAACATGTAACACAGAGGTTAACCCCCTTATTGAAACCCCAACTAATCTAAGAGAGCACCTACAATAAATAGGCCTCCCCTCACTCTTGTCTAGGGTTACAGGCAGCCCATCAGACCACCTAAAATCGGTCGCAGTGCTCGCAAAGATGTAAAGTACTGCTCCACTCACTGTAAACAACACAAATACACGGTACACTTGGTTCCAGATCTCCACCACCCATCGCTCTGTGACAAGGAGACTCCAATCCCCCTCTCCACTCCATACCGGCAGCCACAAGGCCCAGACGATGCATACACACCACCCTGACGACCCTAAAGCAAGTCCATGAGTCTTTAAGTCTCCACACGCACGCTGTCCCTCGCTATAAAGTCTCCATCATCGGCCGCCATGTACAGATCTGCACAAAAAGTATCAAATATTTGTTTCTTAACCGGTTGTCAGAATAGAAACCTGATAAATCGGATTGAATGCAGCGAGACTGCTTAGCGCTCGTAAATAATATAAACAAATGTTATGATTTCAAGAAGTGGATTCTACAAAAATTAAATTACATTGGGCTACTGGTTCTGCAATCTGTACAGTATTTGCCATTGCAGATTTGTTTCTTGCTCTCGTAGCCAAGCAAATATCACGCTAAGCACGAAGCTCGAGTCTAGATGCAGGTGCATCGGTGGATGGTCTTTCTTGCATCTTGCTAAAAATGAAGCAATTTTGAAGCGTCGTCGGCTGAATCCTACTACGTAGTACTGGAGACGATGACCGAGCCAGCAGTGTTTCCTGCCTTGGCAAGAGCAAAGAAGCTCTTTATACTTCGTAATCAACCCACAAAACGTCACGAACGAAAAGCCACAGTGTATCATCTAGCTCAAGGTGCTTCGAGCTTCAGCAACCCAAAGGAAAGACGAGATCGCCCACAAGAACCACACCGTGGTGCAGGACCGCGTCGATACACTCCTGCACTCGCTGAATTCTGCTCGGATTTTGATGAGCATTTACGGCTCATTGACAGCGACTTGTCGCTACTGAATACGTCGGTAAGACGGGAGTACCAACGCGAATCTCTAGCTCTCGAGAAGCTAACCTCGGCGCTGCTGGATTCGAAAGTGAACATTAATGAAGTACCTTACGTAAACCAGGGGGAGGTACGTGTTCGTCGTGTTCGACTACGCGTTAGAAGGCCGCGCATCAAACTTCGAATCGTCCTCCAGTCTACACCTAAAATGTCAACTGCAAAGCAGCCACAGCCAAGTCTTAAGTCACTTAGTCGAACTGCTATGCTGGCACATCAAGCGATGAAGGCGTGTGTTCTTCAGTCATACGCTCGGTTTTACCTTTATCACTGCTTGTACTGTAAGGGTCCCAGCCAACTCGTCGCTGCCAGACAACTAGCCACTCGATGTCGTCGAGCACACGCATTTCGTCACTGGCGACGAATTGTTACTCAGCGTAACAAGCTGCGACTTCGCTGTCTTCGAGCTCAACAACGTATCGACCGCTGTGCTGCCTCTTGGGCTCATTCCAGAGCTTTCCAAATCGTTGATACAGAAGGTAAATACGCCATGGCCAAGAAGTTCCACCAGCTCAATCTTCTTGCAAGCAGCTACCACTCGTGGTTGGGCTGGTATCAAACGTAGATTTTTCTAATACTACTGTTGTGTAAGGATGCGGCCTTATTTCGACAAACGCGATGCATCTCAATAAATGATATTCTCAAATTTGTGTACTGTATGTGTCATTGTACTACAGCCAATTAATAATATCTCTCAGGTATTAATGAATCTTATTTTGGCGAATTTATATGTACTACGATAGCTTCCCCCATTTCAACATCACCGGATAACGGATACCGTGGACGCCATGGCGACGGCCTCAGGCCCGACAACGCGAGCGCGCTCCATCGTGACAATAGATGGGTACGTGAGTCGCGGAAGGGCTCCACCCGATTCCGTGCCTCGAGATCACGCTATGCTGCAAGATTTCGCTGCGTATTTGGAGCAGCGCCTCAAGTGTGTGAACATGTTGATGCTGCGTCGCATCTTTGCTGATTTCCTCAACGAACACGAGAACACGTTGGCCCCCATGATGCAACCATCATCACTATGTACCCGGTGCTGAGCACCAGCTTCCAGAGACGTCGTGAAGCGGCACTTCTCCTTGCCAAACCAAAGCATCATCTGGACACTCGTGGGTGCGTCTTCCTGTATCTACAGCAGCGCGCAGCCACACGGAACATGGCGCTACTTAAGAATTTATTCCTTGAATTCGTGTACAAACGGGAGACGTCGCTAATGGCGTTCGTGGAGAGAGGGTGCCAAGTGATCAGTGTCATCCCCTTTGAACTGCCGCAGATGACGAAGCTGCCACCGCCTCCAGCAACTCAAGAATTTCCTTGCGTCGTGGAAAATGCAACAGAGCAATTGCAAATTGCGTCGGAGTCTGTGGCGAAAAAAATAACAAAGAAACGGAAGCGCAAGACTGTGCCAAAGCCGTCGACAGCAGTAGCATCGACGCCCGCCGTTGCTGATGAAGTAGCTCCCTTGATCACCCGGAAGAAGACGAAAGGGAAACAGAAAGAAGCTGGGAGTCGGGTGCAGCAGACACCATCCGGCACTCGTGCTGAAGCGGAGGTTACGACCAAGCGTAGACGCACAACCAGCAAGAATGCTAGTGCGGCACCTGTCTCTAGTCCTGTTGAATCGGCCCCAAAGCGCGCTAGACAGACAAAGGAAACTACGAAGTCACTGCAGCAAACCGCCTCTGTGCTGCAACGGAACGTGACTCTGTTGGGACAGAGACCTCTGCCCCTGCTACCGTTTCGAAGCCAAAGCGCGGCAAGAAGATCAAGACTAGAACTACGTCGTCGAAGGATGTTACGTCCACAGCTGTACCGGAATCGGTCGGATCGGATGTGACAAAAGTTTCCAAGACTCCAAAGCGGGGGAGAAAGTCGAAAGCAACAGAAGATGCTGCTTCTGAAGCCACAACGGAAGTTGTCAAACCTGCCGTGCCTCAAGCTCTACCACCCGCAACCAAGCATTGCAGGAAGTCAAAGACTGGCAAAGTATCCATGCAGGCTGTTGTCTCTGCAGTCGTATCGGATTTGGTTCAACCTGCTGCGACGGAGACTTCTACGCCGACTCCGAAGCGCGGGAGGAAGTCAAAGACCTGCACTTTATCGCCGCAAGATGAGGTCTCTGTAGCTACAGATACTACGGCACCGGCTAAGCCCAAGCGCGACAGGAAGGCTAAACCCAACGCATCGCAACTACAGGAGGCGGTCTCTGTACCACAACTGGTGAAATCTGTCGTGAAAGACGCTCTAACGACCGATGCAAAGTCACCCTCGAAGCGTGTGAGAATAACAAGGGCTAGCGCAGCAGTGGGACAAGCTGCAGCCGCATTCGAATCTACCACGACGGGAGCTACCCCAGCCACAAAGACAGTGAGAAAGCCAAAGACTACTAAGACTTCAGTTTCAAGATGGAGAGTCGGTAGTCGCAGCGCCACCTGCGAAGTCCGCTACGATGGAGACTTCAAAGGCTACCCGGAAGCGTGGCCGACCATCCAAGATATGAACTGTGTCAGCACAGGATACAACACCTGTAGACCCAGTCGACCCTGTTGTCACAGAGCCTGCTAAGTCAACTCCGAAGCGTGTGAGAGAGCCAAGGACTGGCACTGCGTCACCACGAAAAGGTGCTACCTCTGCAGCTGCAACGGCAGCGGTGGAGTCTGTCGTGACACAAGTTGTGGCACCTAAATCGCCTCCAAAGCGTCGAGACAAGTCAAAGGTTTCAAAGGTGTCCACCTCAAAGACGAACATTGCAAAAGCAGCTCAGAAACGTGGCCGAAAACCGAAATCCATCGCTGCGTCACTACAAGACACAGCAGCTGCCACAACGGAATTGGGAGATGCAGCTTTAGTATCTGCAACCGAACCAATCGAGCCTCAGATTACAACTTCAGTCACCGCCGTAGCCACGCCGGAAGTGGTGAGCGCTGTGGTGACAGACGCCCAACCCGCTGCTATATCGACTCCAAAGCGTGGTAAGGAGTCAAAGACGCAGACTGCAGTCGCTACAACCACGTCGGACACTGTGAAGCCTACCGTGAAACGGGGTAGAAAGCCGAAGATTAGTACTTCGCTACTACATGATGTCGTAGCCACGACTGCAATGGCGAAAGCGGTCACGATAGACGCCCCGCCGCCCACTACAAAACCAACTCCAAAGCGCAGGAAGAGGCCACCAACGCGCACTTTACCGCAACATGAAGAAGCTACAACAACCATCACGGAAGTGGTCCAGTCTGTCCTAAACGACCTTGTATCTCGAGTTTCTGGCGAGTTCTCGCTCCCCACGCGACATCGGAAACGCA